ATGGTGTGCATTCGGTTTTGTCCTTGAAACCGGGTGTTACACGCTACGAACACACAGATGCGAAGATCACAAAAATCGAGCTAAAACAAAGAAGTTATGAATTAAATAAGTTTTCCTTTAGTAAAATAATAGATTAAATCTAACCTCAAATTTTAAAAGTTGAAAACCTACTTAACAGTAGTACAAACATGTAGATTACTTAATTACGAACATAACGCAACTTGAACGGATCAAACCGGAGTTAAAACGAGAAAATTATGGCATAAACAAATCTAGTGACAAAACTGTAAATAGGTGAAAACGTATTTTGGATCTAAACCGATGAAACTACGCTTTCCAAAGAAGAAAACGAAATCTCGAAAGACACTTTGGACTGCGGGTTAAGACTCAAATAATTATATGGGGGTTTTTGCAAAACTCACAGCGAAGGGGTATCCTTCGATATTAGCCGCCAGATTGGATTCGGGCGGCTGGGATTGAACCGGAGGGGAGAGAGAGGGTCTGACTGGCGGAACAGGGCTGGCGGCAAGATGTTTGCAGCAGCGCCATGGATGAGTTCATCGGCGATATCGGTTAGGAGCCTACGGTGGATGGTTTTTTGAATGGAGAGAGCCCTAAGAGAGATGTGAGGATGGGGAACTCACCGGAACTGAGAGGAACGGCGGGGAAGTGGCGAAGGCGTGCGGCGGCTGCATGACCCCATCAATGGCGGCGGCGCTAGGCTAGGCGGTTGTGGGCTCTTAGGCGAGGCGAAAGTTGCGGCGCTGGAGCTGGGGTTGGAAGCGGCATGCACGGGGCATCCGGTATTTAAGAGGGCGAGAGGCTTGGGCGACACGGCATCCGCAGCGTAGCGGAGCCGGATTCATGGCGACGGCGTCCGAGCCGGTCACAATGCGAGGAAGAAGGAGCTCCTGACGGGTGGGCCCGGCGTGTCAGCGGGGCAGAGAGAGGACACGCGGGCGCGGTTGGCATGCGGAGCTGGGCCGGCTGCTTTGCTGGGCCACTGTGGGAAGAGCGGGGCGCGAGAGATGGGCCAGTGCTGCTACTAGCTGGGCCGCGCAATGAGAAGGGAAGCGCGGTGCGCGAGCAGGCCGACGCTGGAACCGGAACGGGCCACGGCGCAGAAGCAGGCCAACCAGGCCAAAAGGAAGGGGGGAAAGGAAAATTTATTTTCCTTTTCCAATTTTTTCAAAGCAATTTCAAAATCAATTTTGAATGCAAATTCAATTCAACTTGAAATCTGATTTCAAATCAAGCAATACAAAAAGAAATGCAGCAGCATGGATGCACACACATGATTGTGAACCTACATTTTAATTTAATTTAATAAGATTACTATTTTCCTAAATTCAAATGCCGACAAAATGCATAATAAATCAAATTCTCCTATTTTAAAATTTATGCAAATTTTAGGGTGTTGCATGTACGATGTTTACAAACCGAAGTATCTCAGAAGCAGAATCGTAGCGTTGAGAAGGATTTGGTAAGATTTGGAGTCAAAGTGACGATCGAATTGGGGTTTAACTTCAAAACTTTTTGTATAGACAATAGATGACATAGATTGATTCATGTGTAATTTTGGTAATTTTTTTGGATCCATTTGATAATTTTAATTTATTAAGTGCAATTATAGAATTTTAATTGATATAAATTGAATTTGAGCTATAACTGCATAAAATAATAAGTTTTTTTTTCTCTTCTGATCTTGAAACTTTTTCTACTCTCCACATACAACATGTTGTACTCCATGTTATAATTTGGTATATTTCTCGACATACAGTGCCCCGGATTTGCCGAGTGTTAGGTCCGGGACACTCGGCAAACGCGCCGTGACCGTCTCCGCGCCGTCGCATTACTTTTTTCGTCGAGCGTCGGTTTCAGCTCTCGGTAAAGTATTTGCCGAGTGCCCGATAGAAAACACTCGGCAAAGAGACGTTTGCAGACACTAGAGATGCCGTGTGCTGTTTGCCGAGTATTACACTCGGCAAAGCCTTTGCCGAGTGCCTGTGGCAAGCCACTGTTTCGGTAGTGGAAGGTGAAGGATAGTACAAGAAACAAAGTATTAGAGAGAGACATAGCAGTTTAGTATTGCTGCCTAACATGAAGTATATGATATTGTTTCTGTGCTAGCATGTGACAACAGCATGTTGATACCGAAACAGAACAGCATGCTGTGCTCAAAATTCAGAGTTACTGAATATGTAGAAACCTGAGCAGAGACACAGAACAAAGAAAAGAGCTCTTTCCAGAAGCAACAACAGTTTGAAATTGAAGGAGCAACTGCATGGGCAAAACCCAGCAGCCCAGGGCCATTCAGAGTTCTCTATACAAGACATTGAATTCACAGTTTGCATAATTCAGGAAAGCAGTCCACAACGATTTTGCATAATTCAGGAAAGCAATCCACAATTACAAGTGTTGTGATTACCAGATGGTCCCAGGCTGCTGAATGCCCAAATGCAAACGAAATCGGATCACCGCTAGTTGCATCCTATCAAGCTGGAGATGGTGTACTCGTTTACATTGTGCAGGTGCATCTCAGGACAAGTTGATGCAGAGCAGGTATACTCATTTCCACGACCTCCACAGGTCATTGAGAACCCTCCCCGGCACCACCCTCGCCGCAGCACACCATGCCCATGAGCCAACGATGGGCTCAAGAACCAACAGCTACTACGTCTCCGACTACTTCGGCTCCTACCACTACTGGCTTCGTCTTCTCCGACTTCGACGTCAGCGCAGAGCATATTCATGACACTGTGGGACATCTCACTATCCAGACAAGGGCGTCAACAACTGGACAATGATTCAGCGCATCCTCGCGCTGATCGGAGAGGGGGGAGTGGCGTAACACATCAGATGGAGGACCCAGGAGGGGGCCCGAGCAGCCCAGCCACGCCACCAAGTGGCCAGCTGCGCCACCCTGGAGGGGGGCAGGCTCCAGTCTTGCCGCCGACAACCGTACCCAAAGGATCTGGAATAAAAGGAAAGAGAATAGATAAAATAGGAGTAGAGTCGATTTAGATTCGATGAGATTTAGAGGAGGGATTTTCCTCGTAAGATTACTTAAGATGCAAGTATACTTGGGACGGCATTGTAATCATTGAGGATCAAGAAAGAATAGCCTCTGGCTTATGCCCCCTCTCTCTCTGTGCGCCTATAGATGTCCAATGGGCCGGCCCTGCCCAGCACAGCACGGGTTTGTGCCAGGCACGGCCCGTAGGAGGTTGGGCCGGCATGGCACATCGTGCCTCCCGGGCCGTGATGACTTTGGCTTCATGCCTGGCCGACGGCCCAGGCACGGCCTGTCGGGCCACTTTTAGTGCCGGGCTGGCCCAAAAAGCACGCCACGGCCAACGGGCCGGGCCAGCCCGAGGCCCACAGAATGCCATTAGAGAGAGAGATCGGGGAAGGGGAGGCTGGGATAGCTACGCGAGCCGTGGGAGGCGGCGGCAGCCGCAGCGCGCTCGCCCCTGAGAAGCCTCCGACCGGTGCCTCCTTGTCACATGCCGACCGCGTCAGGGCCGCATGCCACCGCCTCCTTGCCGCAAACGGCGACACCATTGACGCGCCGCAGCAGCGCAGGGCCATGCCCACACGTACACGCGTGGCTCCAACCTCCTCCTCCGCGACTTCTCCGTAGGGCCGCACGTTGTTGGTGAGGTTGCCCCTGGCTGCTCGAGTGCTCATCCATGGTTTGCTTGGATCTGAGAGAAATCAAAGGAGAGAGAATGAGAGACGGGGCGGTGGACGGACGGAAAGAACTGGAGCTGAACTAGTGAGGCGATGGAATCCGAAGTGATAAGGTTCGTGGACCCAGCAGAAAAAAATGAGAGGTGAAGACGTGAGGTGATAAGGTTCTGGTGGTCCCCACCAATGAAAAAGAGTGTTTGTATTTTTTTAGGAGGAGCGCGAGTGTGCTGCCGGTCTGCTCTATTGTGTAAGCTGTAGCTGGTGTGTATATTATTTAATAGGGGATGCGGGCCTACACCGGGCCTAAGTGAATTTAGCGGGCCGGGGCGGGTCGCCCGACATGCCTAAGGAGTGGCCCAGGCATGGCCCTAAGCATTGGGCAGGCAGGCCCGAGCCCGCTTGGCACCATGTCATGCTGTGCTCAGGCCAGGCCAAAATAGCGGGCTTTGGGCCGGGCCAGCAGGCCTTGGGCTACATGGCCATAATTATCTACGCCTGCCTTCTCTCTCCCTGCCGCCGCCCCCTCCCCATAGCCGACGCCCTGACCCCCCTAAACCCTAGCCGCCGCCACCCTAGGAGCCCCTCCTAAATGACGTGCTATACCTGGTATATGGAGGCCAGCTGATCCATGGCTTCCACCACCACCAACATGCAATAGCTGATCTAGAACCTCGTCGACCTCTGCAGGAACTTTGACGAGGTGCATCGCCAACTCACCAACCTAAACATCCGACTACATGGCATCGAACAAGCATGCATCCATGGCAATGCCACCATCACTGGCGTCCAAGTCAAAATGGATTGAGAAGCCACCATCAACAACCTAGAAGCAGAGATCAAGAGAGTCATGATCGATGCCGGCAAATCCTACCTCAACCACAAGATGGACGAACCCTAATCTTCCAACGCTCCGAGATCATATTGGAGGTGTCGAATAGCCTGCTCAAGGCACCACCAACATCTCAGCCCCCGCTGCTGCCGTACTTTCTATCACTTGGCTGGCCAACCACGACCACCACGGGCTACCACGACGACTCCAAATGACCACCTACCCCTTCACCAATTTTTGGCGGCCGGTGAAGCAGTGTGCACACACACTGAACGTCGCGTCGCCGCCTACTCGTCGACACTGACAAACCCATCATGGCTCGACAACCCCTACATATGACGGCTTGACAGATCCATTGATGTGGCTCTTGCAATTACAACTCCTCTTCAAGCTGCACGACTTACCTAATGATCAACAAGTTCAGGATGCTGCTTTTCATCTAACAGGTGCAGCACAACTCTAGTACATTCGCCTGACAATGGATGCGCCACTGACCGAATGGGAGCTCTTCAACCGAAACCTCATTCACTACTTTAGTCCACCTATCTGCCAGGACACGATCGGCGACCTTGCACCACCTTGGCACACCGGCTCCATGAACGACTACATCGACAATTTCACCGCGTACGTGCTACATGTCGGCATCACTAGCGAGCTTCACCAAGTCAGGCTCTTCATCACCGGCCTGCAAGATGCACTTCGGACGGCAATCATCTAGCGTCACCCCTGAGAGATGGAGACGGCTATCGACCTTGCACGTGCATAGGAGCAACTTCCGCCTGCCACCATCGACGCAATACGAGCCAACCCCAACATCGACAACAACTCTGACCACACACCAGAATGGGAGGCTGACGATCCATCCGACAACATGGAGACGAGTCAACTCTTCCCCCTGCAACGCCTCCGACACCCCAGAACAACCCGGCAATGGCGATCCTTCCACAAATCGGCTCCAACACTAGAGCGACCGCGTACATCAATAGCACCCCGACCAAGACATCCTCGCACAACTCTGCCTACAGCCACGAATGAGCACGAGCTCTAGATCATCTCCGCCACCATTGAAGTCCAGGCAGCGACACCAGCTTGGTCGCTCCAATATGGCATCGGTCACTACAACGATCGCTACTACATGCTGGCGACATCTCCCATCCTGCAGGACCGGCTAGAGTCACAAGGAACAATCTCTCCCCAACTCCTGGCAATCGGCCTCCACACAACAGCATTTACACCGGCAACTCAGGCCTTCCCATCGAGCATCCATCTACTAGAGGACTGGCCACAACGCATACTACCATCAGCAATGGTCATCTTCTTTGACAACAACGGCCAACAATTCCTCTACATTGACAACATATACATCAGCAAGCAACACGCTGACGGCCACCCACTCATCTCCCCAGCAAACAACACCAGCGACCTCCTCTTTGGCACCCTGCAACACTTCACCATGACACTACCAACCATCGTTGCAACAACATTGTGTAGGCGCATCATAGGACAAGTTGATGCAGGGCAGGTATACTCATTTCCACGACCTCCACGGGTCATGCAGATGCTACACTTCTCAGGAACCCTCCCCGGCGTCACCCTCGCCGCAGCACGCCCATGAGCCAACGATGGGCTCAAGAACCTACAGCTACTATGTCCTCGGCTACTTCGGCTCCTGCCACTACTGCTTCGTCTTCTCCGACTTCGACATCAGTGCAGAGCAGATTCACAACACTCTGGGACATCTCATTATCCCAATCGAGGAGATACCTTGGGTCAGCAACCTTCCAGGCAACGGCGTCAACGACTGGACAATGATTCAGTGTAAGGACGCGTTGATCGGAGAGGGGGGGAGTGATGTAACACGTCGGATGGAGGGCCTAGGAGGGACCCGAGCAGCCCAGCCATGCCACAAATTGGCCAGCTATGCCACCCTGGAGGGGCGCGGCGTCCAACAGGGGCGGGCTCCAGTCTTGCCACCGACAATCGTACCCAAAGGATCTGCAATAAAAGGAAAGAGAATAGATAAAATAAGAATAGAGTCGGTTTAGATGAGATGAGATTTAGAGGAGTCCAAATCTATAAGTACTTTCCTCGTTAGATTACCTAAGATGCAAGAATATAGAGGGATTGTAATCATTGAAGATCAAGAAAGAATAGCCTCAGGCTTATCCCTCTCTCTCTCTCTCTCTGCGCCTGCCTTCTCTCTCCCAGCCACCGCCGCCCTCACCCCCCCTAAACCCTAGCCGCCACCGCCGCCGCCCTAGGAGCCCCTCCCAAGTGACATGCTACAGGTTGACATTTTAAAAAATGTCAATATCTAGCGTAGGGACAATGGGTTTTATATATAGTTCCATCCTAGCTGGAAAAAAGTTACTAGTCCATAGTGTTAACTTTTTGTAATTTGTTTACACTTGCCAACAGATCTGTTTCGACAAGCATCTTTAGACCGTAGGATTCTAAATAAACATCTAATAAATGGAGTACCCACATTTTTTGAATTTTAATTAGGTTTGGCATATTTTGATTCAATTAAAATTAAATAAATCATAAGGTGCATATAAAATACTATGTGCATTAAGTCTTAGCCCATATGAAATTTTGACAAAATATTAACTCTACTTAAACAAGTGGCATTTATATGCATATGTTGAACTTAAGAGAGACGGAGGGTGAACTGCAGTATATGGAATGCACAGGTGGACACACAAAGAGGCCTTTCTTACTGAATTGGTTCAAACTTGTGCAAAGGAATCTAGTCCTATTCTTGTGGGTAGTGATTCTAATATCATTAGAAGCCCCAGGAAAAGAATAACGATAGATATGGTGATCGTTGGCCTTTCCTATTTAATGCTATTATTGATAGCTTGGATTTACGGGAGCTTGACCTCTCTAACATGAAATTTGCTTGGGCCAATTTCAGGGAAACACCCACCTATGAAACACTGGACCGGATATTAATGACCACAGGATGGGATTCTAAATTTCCGCTTACTACTATCCAGGCATTAACACGGGAAATTTCAGACCATACCCCTTTGCTTTTAGACACTGGTAAAGGCACTCACGGAAACAAACAACCGGGGTTCAAATTTGAACTCGGTTGGTTGTTGAGGGAGGACTATTGACATGGTTGCCGGAGTCTGGCGAAAGGAATAGGGAGGTATCAATCCTCGAGTGCTGGCAATGTAAAATACAACGGCTTAGACAGTTACTAAGGGGCTGAGCCAAAAATGTGAGCGGCAACTATAAGAAAGAAAAGGCTGAGTTGATCAGGAAAGCTGATGCGCTAGATAAAAAATGGAAGTACAGCCACTAAGTACCATGGAAATCGATTTAAAACATCATTACAAGGACAGTAGGGCTCTTCTCTTATGGGAAGAGGAAGTCAGGCTAAAACAACTAGATTGTTATCGGGTGACTATAATACTAAATACTTTCACCTCGCGGCCAATGGAAAACACCGAAAAACACGTATTTTCCGCCTAGAACAAGATGAAGGTGTCATTGAGGGTGATGAAAATCTAAAGAAATTTATCACCAACTATTACAAAGATCATGATATGCTACAGGCCAAAGAATTAAAGCTTGTGCTTAGTACCTTTGAGCAATTATCAGGTCTAAAATTATTTTTCACAAAAGTGAACTTTTACGCTATGGTGCGGCTAAGGATTGTGAACTGGAATATGCACATTTGTTTGGGTGTCGGTTAGGTGATTTCCCTTTCTGATATCTAGGTATTCCTATGAATCATGTTAAGCTATCCAACAAGGATTGGTCATGTATTGAGGAAAGGTTCCAGAAAAAACTCAGTAGCTAGAAGGGTAAATTACTTTTGGTTGGTGGGAGACTAGTTCTCATTAATTCGGCGCTAACTAGCTTAGCTATGTTTATGCTATCCTTTTTTCAAGTCCCTAAGGAAGTGCTTCAAAAACATGATTATTATCGCTCCCATTTTTTCTGGCTGTGTGATGAACACAAGAAGAAATATCATCTGGCTAAGTGGAGTGTCCTTTGTACACCCAAAAACCTTGGTGGGCTAGGAATTCTAAATCTAGAATTACAAAATACATGTCTTTCGAGTATGTGGTTATTTCGGTTGATCAATGAGGATGGGGTTTGGCAGAACCTTGAAATATCTGTCTAACAAATCTCTTACTCAAGTGCAACATCGGCCTGGAGATTCTCATTTCTAGTCTGGTCTTTTCAAAGCCAAGGCGGACCTTCTAGCTTGGGGCACTTTAAAAGTGCAGAGTAGGGAGCAAGTGCGATTTTGGGAGGATGTGTGGTTAGGAGACAAACCTTTTAGAGAGTTTACCCTAATTTATATAGAGTTGCGTGGAAGAAAGACGATACGGTGGCAAATGTCTGAGGGACAGTACCACTTAATGTGTCTTTTAGGTGGTGATTGGTTAATGAAAATCGGAGAGCTTGGTTTGACTTAAGTGTCAAAAGTTGTACAAGTTCATCTCTCTAACCGGAAAGATGTATTCGGATGAAACCTTATTAAGAATGGCTTGTTCACAGTCTAGTCCATGAATAAAGCTCTGATCTGACAAGACGTTCTCCCTGAGAAAAGACCTATCTAGAAGCTATAGGTGCCAACGAAAATAAAGATTTTCTTGTATCCGCGTCTTGAGAAGACGTCAACATGTTCATGGAGCGCCACCATTTGTTCCAGCTCGAGGACGAGCTGCTCGTCGAGGGCGAGGAGAGACGTAATGTGGTGCCGCCATTAGTAGAGAAAGGGGCGCACCAGAGACACGGCCAAGGGCGCGAACGTGTTGGCGCAGGAGGCGCGTGACCACGCATCACTGCTGGGACACGGGAGCGCCTGAGGAGCGCGCCGGGAGAAAGAGCCCGCGGACAAGATCGTGCAGTGCACATCAGCAGCACTATAGGCGCGCAAGGCACAGGCACAAGCCACGACCAGATTACTTTCCCAATTAGTTTCCATCGCATGCTTATTTCTATGATGTATCGAAAACATTTGGATTCAAGAATAAATCAGACAACTCTACTCTCCTGCCTCTTCTCTCTCAATCCCATCCCCTTCAATAATAGGATGCCAAGGGGTAAAACCTCGCCCTAATGCTAGCAAAGAGGCTATGATCTTCGTAGCCACGGTCCAGTTATCTACAACCTCGATGCCCTTGACAGAGACAAACTAGGAAGAACACCCAAATTTAAGTTCAGTAGAACTCAGAACATAGGTGATTAGGTGCATGATCATACCTTTCATCCAGCCAATTGAGCAAGGCTCGGCAAGGCGTGAGGCTGTTCAGGGAGAGGGAGAGAGGAGATTATTTTATGGGTTAATTGGTTAACTAAATTAGTACAACGGATTGGCTTACATAGGCACCAGGACGTATTCGTACAACAATCTCCTATCTTTGCTCACACGCTAGACTATCTCCGGCTTAAACCAACAACCATATCCAAAGCAGTAACTCCAACCAAAGCCGAAACAACTCAGGATTACTTCAACTAAAAATAACACTGAACCAACTGAGGATAACTCTGATGACGCTGCTCGCCCAGCATCCTTCATTACTTTAACTGAAAATCACATTGAACCAACTGAAGATAACTCTGATCATGCTGCTCGGCCAACATCTTTCTACACCCTGGAGCTGTAGGTCCAGCCCCACATGCACCTAGAGGGTTAAGAAAAAGGTTTACATGGTTAGCTTCGTTCTCCTTTTTTTTTGTCAAAAATAGGGC